AGGTGACACGGATTCAAGTGTAGTACCCTGCACACTGTGTTCTATACCTAACTTTTACTAACAAATTTCCTGGAGCTTCTTCCATCTCTGTATATAGAGAGCATCTTCCTTATTTTATACAGTTACATCCCAGTGGGTGGATATATTATGATTTCGTCTGTTCTCCATTGATAAACATTTGGGTTGTTTCCAATCTCCTGCTTTCATAAATAATGCTGAAATGGTTAACTGTGTGTACATGTTGCTTCACACAGCAGTTCTATCTCTGGATAAACTCCCCAAAGTAAAGTTGCTACAGGACAATTTCTTCATCAGACTTACAAAGAGAATCGACGAATACATACAGAAACCATAATTCTTCTGTGGGGTGTCCAGTTTAGCACAGGAGCAGATAACTAAAAATCCCTAAAGGAAAAATATGTCTTACTTCCTCTCTTTGCCAAAACAGAAAACAAACCCAAACACCCGTGATGAATGTGTTTTTTACTCCCCATTTAATGTGCTTTGCTCCAGATGTTATAGAAATCATTGGGTTTGATGCACTCCGCTATAATTTTTATTCACAATGCTGTTCAAAATCTCTTGAATAACATTAGGGAGGGTGGCTGAGCTTTGCAGGAAATAATATAGAGAAACCTGAGCTGGAGTTTGTTAGAGTGACAACTATAGAGCCCTTTTACGATGGCATAGCTTCAGCAACCATGTATCCCTAAATTGAGTTATCAGGTTAGTGGTTGGCAGGCATGCAAGTTCAAATTCATATTGTTCTCCCACTCCTTTCCTGGTGGTTTCCAGCACACTGACCCCAGAAACAACTGTATAACCCTCCATTTATAACAAGAAGCCCGTTCTTCCATGAGGCTTCGAGGACTAAGCCAGCTATCACGTCCACGGCTGCCGGGAGTGGAGACTTGGCACTTTCAGTGTGTGGGATTGAAGAGCCAAAAGGGACTCAAGAGCCAAGGGGTGGCCTGCTTTACTTATTCCTGACATCAATCATTTCCTTCTAGATGATTCTGACAGTAAAAGAGCTGAATTTTTCCAGAGAAGCTCCATCCCCGGTCATGTCCTCATAAATCAGAACGAGCTCCCCTCCCACAGTTTCACTCCAAGGACTAGCTCTGCAGGCTAAGCAGAAGGCCAACCCAGACGCCCCAAAAAGCATGCAAGGGGCCCTTACTCAAGAGAGCTCTGTAAAACAGAAGAGGAACAGCTAAGCTAGGCAAAAGCATAGAAGTATTCAAGTGCTGTGCTTTGTAGCATTTTCTTATCATATTAAAAAAATGAGTGTAACCACAAAGAAGTTACAAAGCTTAGCCCTGAAGGAAGAAAGAACTGAGAGATTGTCAGATGGAGCGGGATGCAACCAGTGACGTAATTCTGAAGATGGTGCCACCTGGTGAAAATTCAGAGTGAGTGTAGGGTTAAAGAAATCAGCTCAGGAAACTCCAGTGCGCCAGGAAAGCTGGGAGGAAAGGCATCAAAAATCAAAGTGCAGCTGCTCTTTTTGCTGTTTAAATCATTATATATTAGCTGAAATCTTAGTTTGTTGGCCAACACTCAAAAGTGACATATGGCCAATAAAAGGTTTGGTGGAGTTTTCCATCTGCTGTTCAACTTTACCCATGGCTTCCACGTGTACGGCTCAGTGTCAGGGCGGGCTGCGCTTTACAGTCCTTTCATGAGCTGAATGCAGGCTGTTAAATGGGCACGATCCTACGCCAACATATGCCACCAACCCAGCAGGACATTTGACAAGTTGACGCGCATGGTGCCTGGAATTTGTTCTCCACTCAGATCCAACCAGCATCGGGGAGACATGGAGTGAGAAGCGCGTGAGTGGACCAGCCCTCTGGAGTGTTGCAGGTGCGGATGCCACAAGTTGTACAATCAGCGTTCTCCCGAGGCGTCATCTGGACACTCTGCAAAAAGCTCGGGGGACACAACATCACTCTGGGTGCTCGTTAAATTCCACTCCAAATGCAGAAGTACTGGCCAGTGCCAGTGGCTCAATTTTGGAAACCGTATTTATTGGGATTAAAATGCAAAGAGAAGAGGTTTCTTTTCCTGGCTTGGGGTTGTTTATTTCATCCACCTCAGAAGCAGAATTGCCTGCACTTGAGCAAATTGGCCCTCTGCCACTAATATGCAGGGACCCCTTGGTGGTCTTCCTGCACTCTCATTTTTATAGCTACCCTCAGTGGGGGACACATTTTGACTCCAAATCCTGGAATAGGAAGTATCCAAGATACTCAAAATCATTCTAATCCCTTTCTCATTGTTGTGCTCTTCAAAGCAGAATTGGAGAGTTACTGATATCTGCCGCAACTTCTTTGTTTAAGTAAAGGAACAAAAGTGGTCCCCAAAGGTGACTTCGCTGTAGCCCAAAGGAACACTAGCAAGAGAAACAGTGATGCACGCTACTACATCTGCTTGCATTTTCCATGATGCTCTCATTCCCCTTGCCTATTCTGCACCGGTCAGAAAAATACTGCCAGAGGCAGAGGGAGATTCGGGGCTAGACAAAGAAAGCCCTGTCGAGGACTCCCGTTTGGAATCTGTTGGCAGAGACGATGGAAGGGCAGGAGGGAGACAGGGGAGGGGAAAAAAGACTTGTTGAAATACTACATAGGAATTGATGTAAAAAACTGAAAAGTCCCTGAGTCTGTGAGGAGGTGGCACAAATTATAACAATGAATCATTTGCACAGAAATGGGCTCTCAGTTCTGACAGACAGTGAGGATTTAGGAAGACAGATTCCTCCCGGGTTCAGCAAGAAGCTAAGGCAAGAAAGCCAGTGGCGCTTGGGGTTTGGCAGAAAGTCACAGACTCTTTCTCCAATGTGCTGACTTGGCAAATACTCAGTCCTCGAGGAGCCAGGCTCTCCAGAGACTGTAATTTTTTTAACCCATGTGTATTTGAGGGAAAATTTAATCTCTCTGCCTCTGACTCATTTACACTTAACTCATCAAAAAGTTGTTTGCTTTGTGCTATTTGATGGCCAGTAAGTTAGAGTCTAATTTAGAAACGGCCTCTGGTCCTGGGAAAAAAAAAAACCCAAACCCAGATGAGAGACTCAGATTGAGCATCTGCTTTGATTACAAAGTTGGGAGGTTACTTCTTTGGGTAACAACACTGCAGGGAAGGGGGTCATCATGTTTTAACTCCGAGTTCCCATGCTCCCAACACCCAGTGCTCACACATACACACACTCAGCTAAGGCAACAGGCCTGGTAGAAGGTGTTTGGAACTGGAGGCCTCAAGGCGCTGTCCCCTAATTAAACCAGGTCACGGTAAAGCTGCAAATAGCAACGACTAAGATGCATCCTCCTTCACCACTTACTTACAGGCACAGAATCTGGATGCAGATTGCCGTGGGTTCAAGTCCTCCCTCCCCTTATTATAGTATGTTAGGCAGGTTACTTCATCCTTATGTGCTTCTGTTTCTTCATTGGTGAACTATGGGCAGGGGTAATAGTGCCTGGGTCATAACGCTGAGGCTTAAATGCATTGATTCACACGTAGTGCTCAGCACAGCCTCTGCACAGAGGAAATACTTACTTGGTGGCAGTTTAAAATCAATGAACTGTAACCCTTCTTGCCAGGTGCAGCAGACACCATCAGCCACCTGTATGTGTCACCTCAGATCCCCTCAACCTCTCCTGACTTGCTGTCAGTGTGCCTGGCGCGATGCACAGGTGTCTGGCGGCAGGACTCACCGCACTCCCACGTCGTGCAACTCTTACCGCCTCGGGCACCTCTCTACGGGCTTGGGTTAAGTTCTCCTAAAAGCGGATCCGGAGAGAATTTAGAGTGGTTGCTAGGAACACTGATGAGGGATGGGAAGAAAGCCAGGACTATTGGGAGGTGTTGCTGCGGTACCTGGGCCTCCAGGCCACTGGAAGCCTCTGGAAGAATGCACAGCACATGCCTTATAGTTGACTTGCCTAAGGGACGAAGACACCAGAGTACTTAGCACCAACTCTTAGTTCCCAGGAAAGTTAACTCCCTGGTATGTGGGCCAGACGTGCTTCTGCAACCAGAGAGAGACTCAAGCAGAGAGCTTCAAAATAGGGGGTGCTGATGAATGCCGGAGACCAAAATGACCCCATCTATGACTGAGCCCTGGGGCTTCTCAGGATTCCACTCAGGGCCTACACATGCAACCAGGGAGCACAGGGGAACTACAAACCTGTGGATAACCCTTTCAGGGGACGGTGGGAACACAAGAGCCAGTGGACAAATTCTTCCTCCTCTCTTGCCTCAGGTTTGACTGTCCTGGCAAAAGACCCAGTTTATACAGCTTCTTGGAAAATGGTGTCACGAGATGGAGCAACCCATCTCAGAGAAGGCGAGCTCCATAGTCCATCTTCACCCCACCACCCATATCCCTCCTCTTCCAGCCTCGGTTCCCCCAGCCCTCCCTCTTGCTCCTTGGAACTAAGTTGTTCCATTAAGCCTCTCGGGAAGCCTGGCTAGACAGTGGGGTTACTTATTAATTCCAGCCTCCAACACTGCACCAACCTCAAAGAAACTAGATCTTAGTTAAGGGGAACAGAGGTGCAATGTGACATATCAAATCACGTGTGACCTACGAAGAAGATTTAAGACCTTCTAAGCCATCTGAGAGAAAAGATTAGATCCTAGTACTTGTGTGTTCCTAGGAAGAGGGATATAGTTCCTGCAGATTATGGTCCACCAAATGCAGGTCCCTCGATTTAGGAAAAGTAAAATTAATGCAGCAACAGAGGGGTCCCATTTGGTGACTTCTTGGAATGGCTGCATTCTAGCCGTTCAGTTTTGTCCACAACAACCACAAGCTGCCCCTAATGCTAATCAGCAGACAGCAAGGATCACCTGGTGGAAAATAGTCCTTAACAAACATAGATTAAAGCAGATACTGCAGTTAACTTCAAGTTAACTTCAAATGTTTCTAGACTAGTTTCAGTTTTTGATATGTTCCAGGTATTTTGAAAGAGAAATGAAGTCCCTTCTCTAACCTGGTAAAGGAAACAGCTGTCTGGACACATGACTGTCCCATGTCCGTGGCACCGAGGAATCAACCCCTGTGGTCCTCCTGCTCAGTACTCCTGGCACCAAGATGACGGTCCCCATCCCGGGGCCTCCCTGCTGCCTGGCACCCAGAAAATACCCTCTGTGACATGAAGAGGACGTCGCTTTGCATCTGCAAGAATGCTTGTCAGTCTCTCACTCACCAAAGTGCAAATGGATATTCAGTGAGGATTGTGACCTCCATGGCCCGCCATGAAGGGGCAGAAGCAGCAATGACCCATGTGATGTGATTTCCGGATGCTCCTCCTGCCCAGAATTCACCACGGGAAGACGTCCAGAACCTGCAGGAAAGGAAACTGCCATTTACCGAGAGCCTCTGTGTGGAGTCGTATAGTAGCACCTTCCCACATGTTAGCTTGGGGATGGGCAAAATCTCCCTGTGAGGCCCAGAATGCAAGTATTGTAGGCTCGGTGGTCCATACCATCTGGGCAGTAACTACTCTACCCTACACCCAGCGCAGCCTCCAAGCAGCCATAGTCAGTCAATACACAGGAGGGTGCAGCTGTGTTCCCATTCCTTTACTAAATCAGGATTTGGCCAGCAGGCTGTGGTGCGCTGACCCCCGGGCTAGCTCACATCACTTTCAGAAGAGCTCCCAGCTGTAGGCACTATGTTCCTGATGGAGCTTCTTGTCCAGTGCAGTCACTCTTGAGGGACATCACTCAGCAAATCTCAATGAATGCATGATTCAATCACCATCCACACTTCTAGAGATGAGGCGTGGAAGGAAACACAAGTCTTCAGGATAAATGCGAGTCTCAGGAGATGAAGAAAGAAAGTCAGAGGAACAAGAAAGGACGAGGTGACAAACTGTGAACTTCAGGGGTGGGGGGCAGAGTAGAGAAGGTCTGGGAAGGAGAAGGAGGGCTTTATGGACACCTTGCTGCTGGTTTGGACCATCCCAACTTTTCCCAGGAGGGCTGTAGGCAGTATCCCACCATGACTCAAATATGGTCTGGGATGGCTCAGTAGGTTAAGCACTGAACTCTTGATTTTGGTTCAGTTCATGATGTCACAGTTCGTAAGTTTGAGCCCAGCATCAGGCTCTGTGCTAACAGTGCAGAGCCTGCTTGGGATTCTCTCCCCCACCCCCAAAACAAATAAACTTAAAAAATTTTTTTCTGAAAGTCAACTGCTTTGATACAATGGATACTGCTTCTGACAGGTGGTGGGAACTTGGATAAATTGTTAGTTCTGGGCATCAGATTTCTCATCTGTCAAGTGGGGATTCCTAAGATTGAAGTGAGGATCCAATTAGATACTTCATGGAAAGTGCTTGGCCATGTGCTTGGTGTGACGTGAGCACTCACTCCATAAAAGCTGACTGTTACTGCCATTTTTACCTGGAATGAGCCTAAGGAAGTAAAAGATCTCTGAATGAAAATACCAACCCTAGGTTTGCAGATGCCCTGAGTGGCTGTTCTATAGCTCCTCTCTCCTCATAAGTAAGAACCTATGGGGCGCCTTGGTGGCTCAGTCAGTTAAGAATCCGACTTCAGCCCAGGTCATGATCTCATGGTTTGTGGGTTTGAGTCCTGCATCAGGCTCTGTGTTGACAGCTAGCTCAGAGCCTGGAGCCTGTTTCAGATTCTGATTCTCCCTCTCTCTCTCTGACCCTCCCCTGTTCATGCTATCTCTCTCTCCCTCTCTCTCTCTCTTTTTCTCTCTCAGAAATAAATAAAACATTAAAAAAAATTTTTTTTTAAAAGAAACCTATCAGTGAGTCAGCTGGCCTGTCTGGGCTCATAATAATCATAAACAGTGACATACACTCAGACAGAAGTTCCTCCTTAAGCCAGCATCCATCACACTTTGCCCCAAGAAGTTTCCCTTCCCTGACTTTATACATTTAAATGTAGTATCTCTAGCAGTTGATCACTGATACCACAGGGAGTACTTCTGTGGATCCAACCTAAATGCTGGGGCTTGTTTGTCCAGTCATTTATTTCAAGCATTCTTTCTGGAGGGCTTACTGGGGCTTGAGTAGAAATACAAGAAAAGATACAAATTAGATAAAATCTATTGTTTAGGATATGAAAACTAACTGCTTTTTAATTATCTTTGCCTGAATTCAGACAAAACCCTGTTTGTGGCTCTTGAACCAAAGGGGTCAACATACAACAAGAAGATTAGAATCAAGAATTTAGAATAAAGTTTCTAAGAGAAAACAAAGCCACCACTAGAAAAATAGGAAAATGAGAATTGGAAATGGAATGTTTCCTGGGCTCAAAATGCTCATTTACTGTGGAGACCTCTGGCCTCATCAATCCTGCCCCCTCCCCCCCAGGATTTGCAGACTCACATGCTTTCTGCCTTCTCTGGGAAGCCTGAATTCACAGCTTGAGTTCATATTGGTTCCTGGCTTCTCTCGCTGCCTCTCAATCCTGGCTAAGTATTAAAAGAATCCAGGGAGATTTTTTTTTTTTTTTTTTTTTTTACAAATAGTTTATTATCCAGGGAGCTTTTAAAAATGCTAATGCCCGAGGCTTCTTGGTGGCTCAGTTGGTGAAGCGTCCGACTCCTGATTTTGGCTCAGATCATGATCTCACAATTTGTGAGTTCGAGCTCCATGTTGGGCTCTGTGCTGACAGCACAGAGCCTGCTTGGGATTCTCCCTCTCCCTCAATGTCTCTCTCTCTGCCCCTCCCCTGCTTGTGCTCTCTGTCCCTCTCTGTCAAAATAAATAAATAAACTTAAAAAAAGTTTTAAATACAGAAGGGGCAAGATGGTGGAGTAGTAAAGAGCTCCGTACTTGCACTCACGCCCATACATCACACGGAAAAGATCTGAAGTCATTGGAAGCCTTACAAAACCTGAGAGGTTGGGAGAAAAAAGACACAGAATCCACAGAGAAAGCCTTCTAACGTGAGTGCGAACTGGGGAAGATAAAATCGGGCGGGGATCGGAGACTCCAGGGTGGGAGGCGATCCCACTCTACCCTCTATGGGGAGTGAGAGGGGGAAAAGGAGTCCGAAAGAGAAAAACCTCCCCTTGGGGGGGGGGAAAAACCTCCACTCGGGGCATAGAAAGACTGTACTTGCCAAATACCTGCACACCAGGTCCTCTCGCGCCAACTGGTCCCGGGGGGAGCTGAGCACACAAACTGCTTCTTTGTGCTGGTTCCTGGAGGCTAGACTTCAGAGTGGTGGTGCGCCTGCCGCCATTGTAGCTCCCGGGTGGCTGGGGCCCCAGAAAGAGCCACGCGCGGCATCCACTCTCCTGGCTGGCTGGAACTCGAGAGGGAAGGCAAGGAACTAATAACTGGGAAATTAGCCTGTGAGTTCGTGTTTTGGTTGACAAGGCATAGAAGGACCCGGTTTTCCTCACACCAGCGGGCTCGGGCTCAGAACACCCTGTGGGCAAGCCCCCGCCCATGCGCGCCAGCCTGACCCAGAGAAGGAAGCAGCGATTCTGACTCCGCCCCCAGAGCTCCGCAGGGGGCCTGGAACTGCCCGAGGGGGTTGCCTGGGAAGCTGTGTCTAAGGCAACTTCAGCGGGGCACACGGACAGGGATTTGGAGATTGGAACTGGCCTGGGTTGAAGAGTGCAACTAACTTCGGCTGCGCCCCCAGTACGGGGAGTTTACACGCCCAAAAAAGCGAGGAGCAGCGCTTGGTTCAAGAAGGGACGGGAGCACCGTCACTCTCCTCCCCACAACCGCCAAGGCAGAGCTCCCGCCTGAGGCATTGGATCACACCACGCCCATCCCTGCCTGAGAGGTGCCCTCCTCCCTTTTTCCCCCCCTTTTTTTTCTCTGTCTTTTTTTCTTCTTCTTTCTCTTTTCTCTCTTTTTTCCCCAGAACACTGACCTGATTAACTCCCGTCTCCAGCTTGCTTAAACAATCACAATAATTCCATTCTGTAGAGGTATATTTTACACCTACCGACATTTTCATCTCTTTCTCTCAGGAGTAATGAGACTATATAGTTTCTCTGGATAATTCCAGCACCCTTCTCTCACCTATCCAACCATATTCTACCCTTTACCTCTTTGAAAAAAGCTTCTTATCCCTCCTGCCTGTTCATTCTATTTCCAATTTTGCTCATCCCCACCCTGTCTTCTCTCTCTTTCTCTATGCTCCTCAACCAGCACTGCATACACACGGCTATTTAACTGTAGCTGGGAAATCCTGTTATATGGTTTAAACCGTTCTTTGTCCATCGGTTTTTTTCTTTTTTCCTTTTCTTTTCTCCTTTTTGACCCTTTTATGTTTTTTATACTCTCTATTATTTGCTCTCCCTCCTCTGTCTTTTCTCTTAACTTTTTCGTTTTCCCTCTCGCTTTGCATGTTACTTGCATTAGCCTGTGCATTTCTGTGCTCCTGCTCCCTGTGTGTTTCTCTATCTGTTTTCTTCTCCAGGGCTACCTCAAGAAGCAAGCCAGAGTACACAAGGTGGAGAGTCCCAAATATCACTACGAATAGGAAAATAAAATAACCAAGGTCCCAACAAGAGAGACCAAGAGATACCACTCAAAAAACACTCACTGAAAGGATAGGCCCTAGAAAGTCAAAGAGTCTTCTTGGATATAGCAGCGCTCATAGAAACAGAGAGCATAACAGGTCTTTAAAACCAACAAGAGCCGGAAAGCTAACTAAAATGACGAAACGAAAGAGCTCTCCTCCAAAGAAACTCCAAGAAGAAATGACAGCTAATGAACTGCTCAAAACAGATATCAGCAGCATCACTGAACAAGATTTTAGAATAATAATGGTAAAATTAATAGCTGGGCTTGAAAAAAACATAGGGGACATCAAAGAAACTATGGCTACAGACAGAATGGAAAATAAAAATAGGCATGAAGAATTAAAAAATGCGATAAATGAGATCCATAATAAATTAGAGGCCTCCAATGCACGGATTGAAGAGGCAGAAAGGAGAATAAGTGATTTAGAAGACACCATTATAGAAAAACAAGAAGCTGACAAAAAAAGAGACAAACTGATCCAGGAACAGGAAAGAAGAATTCGAGAGCTCAGCGATACGGTCAAACGCAACAATATCCGTATCATAGGAATCCCAGA